ATGTACCATCGTCAAATACAAGTAGATTGCATATTAAACATGTTACAAGTCAAAAAGAGCAAATAAAATGAAAAAAAAATTTTTCTGCTCACTACACAATACATTTATTTTCTTAATCACCCAGAAATAGTTATATTGTTTAGTTGTTAAGAAGATGGAAACTGACGCTGGAGGTTGTCGGTTCGAACCTTGGTCATCCTCTTTTTTATATTTTTTTATTAAATTTTTAATGTTTTTAGTTAAAATGAACCAAATAAGTTGTATTGTAATTATGCTTAGATTTATAAGTTTTTTTATATTTATATTTTCTTCTAACAAAAAATATTTGAAATAAAAAGTATTTTGAATTATTTTTGTTCATTTTTAATATCACTGTCATGGTTGTAAGATTTATAACTTGATTCAATAAGATAAATGGTCATAATAAAATATATAGTGTACTTGTACAATAATTCTGTTTATAAACATATTTAATATATTTACCCTTGTATAGAAAAATAATTAATTAATAAAAGTTTTACATCTGAGAATATGCTTTCTTCTATTATTGTCTTGCTGAATATAAATTTATATAAATAACTTTATACAAGTTAAACTGGGGTAAACTAAGAATAATACAAATACGCGTAATAATTGATTCTACTCAGAATACACGTATTAGTTATATACAAAATACATGAATCTATATCTATATCTATCATTATAACTTTCAGTAATCATTCTCTTTATATAATAATATTAATTATCAAATACAATTTGTTATATTCTTATCTGCTTATTGCTCATCATCCTTATCCACAAAATACATAAGTACTCTTATATTATTAATACCTAAACGATAAAACAATAAGAATTATAAGTCATTTTTATTTTAATAAACTTATTGAAAATCTCAACGTACTTCTTCTTCTGTCTGTTTTACTTTATTTCTCTTTTATTTCTTTTTTTTACATTTTATATTCTAGTTATTTAACTTAGCTACACGACAACACGCCGTGGCCGCCCTCAGGAAAGTGTTAAGCGCTCTACAAGAAGACGTATTGTTAACAAGCATAACAGGGAAGCCTAAATTTTTTATTCCCATCAAGTAGTTCATAAAAAAATAAAAAGCCTTTCATTTTAAGATTTGTGATATTCTATTTGTGCATTTTTGTAGGTGTTTACTTAGTTTATTTCTGCCCTACAGAAGTTAAATAGTCCTAAATTAAAGTTTATTGCACTTAGAACAACTAGACACTTACTGAAGTAATGCTGTATAAAAATATTAGATCATCTCACCGAAAGACCCCACTGGTGTAGGTGTCCATGACGTACCCATTTGACGATCATTTTTGTTGACTTCTCCGATCATCTTCAAATTTAGTATACTTGTTTATATGCATGAGAAGGACTCATGTTCCAAATTTGACATCGATACCCCTGAAATTGACCGAGTTATGGTCTCTTAAAATTTCGATTTTTCACTTGACATCAATTTGGCCCTATTTTGGCCATTTTTTGAGGGCCGATTACTCTATGAAAAATAATCAGAAACAGTTCAAAAAAATTGCTCTGAGATGTTAAAAAATAGCTCTACCAATATGCCAAGTTTCAAGCTCCGAACGTATCTCAGTCATGAGTAATGCTGGAGGACCCTATCTTTTGCTTTAGCCAAAAAGACGGTGGATAGACATATAAAAAAGGTGCAGTGCGCACAACTTCCAATAAACTAAGTTTACAGATAAAAAGTTAACAAATGGTAATAATGCTGTATATTATTTATCTAGTCCACAATAAGAAGTTCTATTCTTAAAAATTATGCATGCTACAATTCTTTATTACAATTACAAATGAACATTATTTATATATTTTTAATTTATTATCTTATTTAGATACGTTAGCCTACATGTCAGAATTATAACACAAGTATGCTGCTAAGTCACTGCATAGGATTGAAACTAACAACGGATGTGTTAGCGATATAAGCATTTCCTTATTGAACATTCAAGAATCAGAGAGCATTTAATTTATTCAACAACGTAGGTTTATTCATCTGTGATTGTCAAAATAATAGAAGAGTCTAATTCATTCTTAACAGAAAATTACTTTTATATGGCCTTACCATTCTCTCAAATAACTTTATTGTAGAGTAAACTTGTGCGTCCGTTGAGATATCTTCATTATAGGGATATTGTATCTAAAGCTGACGAAAACAAATCTATATTTTTTCTTACTATCGTATTTGTCGGACTTTGAAGATGCAGCGATTCATAAAACTCAAAAACTTTTAGTATACCACCTATGCCCAGGAAACCACCTATGCCGGTTTTCGTGCATTTAAAATTACCAGACCTCATTTATAGAAGTATTTGATTAATTTCCATAATATAGTTCAAATAGCAGCTTTGACGAATATTTAACGGCAGTGTAAGTTATTAAAACAGATATCAAAATACAGCTTATACAAATTGATGCAAATACAGGCAAGACCCGCTGCTTTCGTGTAACCTACTTTGATTTCTCTATGTTTACTACACTAAAATACTACCAAAAACTGACAAAGCACTCAACGATCATCAGTTGTTAGAACAGTAAAAGTGATATGCTATCTATGCTCCTAAGATAGTACATTAACTCAGTATGATTATGGTTTCTTCAAACGTTCAGTTTCTCTCTTTTTATCACTTTCTTCAATCCGATAACAAACAGCTTACAACAAATTATACACTAGGTGAAATAACCGGTGCACAAAAATAATTTTTTTAATTTATTGACTACTGTATTTTTTCTTCCTATATGCAACTTTTTAATTTTTGTTTGCGTCTGTGACCAGATCGACTTTGCACTTATTTTTTTCCATTTTGCATCTAGTCACTTTTTATTTGCTCTAGTGTTTTTCTGAATTTGCTCTTTTTTTAATTCTATTTTTGCTTTACTTTACTGCTAAAAAGACGTAAAAATAAAAAAAATCATCAACGTAAAAAAGAACGGAGTAATACAATAAATAAATACAGCTATCTATTACAAGCTAAATAAATATAATAAACCTTTTGACAAATTTATTTAATTGTAGATTGTTATTGTACTCGAAAGCAACGTATGTAAATCACCTGAATCTGGATTATCCAAATCTGACAGATTCATATTAGATAAACTAACATTACCATTTTCTGATACGATAAATATACCGTATATCCCGGCTTCATTATCACCGATAGTATAATACTTATTATTTATAACAAGCACTATAAAATCCAATGTTTGATTCAGATTCGTAAACATTGTATAGCAAAATTTTTTAAGGGACATTGGAAAAGTTCCATTTATACCATAAAAAGCAAAGAGAGATTCACCACTATTAATCGTTTTATTAATTTCCAGATCTTCATCAAAGTTTGGTTCATATGCATGTTCAAAAAGGACATGTATGGTGGATTAGAATATTTTCTATATTGCCCATGTACTCACATGTAAAGCATGATGTTCCTAATGTATTGTACTTCTTTGTAATAATTGCCTTGACGAACATATTCCTTATTGTAGCAATTTGAGAATGCAGTTGGTGGTAATTTTTGGGAAAGATAAGCCATGTAGTTGTATAGATGTCTGTACCAATCCGTTGATATTCAACCTGATTCCCTTTACATTTATCAGTTGCTTTGAGCTTGATTCATACAATAGCACTATTGAATACGGACGAAATGTATTTCCAGGTGGTCTTGCTTAATTTTAAACCAATGAAAGGCAATATATTTATGTCAGTATAATTGACTACTTGGCATAAAAATGTAAATAAGGTTGGTGAACGAGGCATCCAGAGTTGTTCTATTGTCAGCTCTATACATTCAGAAGAGAGACGTCGAGCCGAAATGCAAACAATTATCCATCGAAGCCTTAAACCAATAAAAAAGTTCCGCTTCATAACATAACGGGTTTGTAATCATATTTGTTTAATAATTTTAAATCATCTAGATGTTTGAGTGTATGTAAGGATTTTTTTTATTAAAAAGCTCCTCGTTGTTAGGCATTAAAAAATTTGTAAAATGATTTAAATACAAAAAGAAAGAAGTAAAGCAAAATACAGATTTTATATGAAATTTATTAGAAAAAAGAATTTTAATCTTTGGTTATTTGTAAGGAACTAAATTTGTAAAATAGTGCATCCTTTGCTATATCAGGCTGTCTGGTTAATTGAACTGGAGTAACTACGCTACGATTTTTGTCTTTAAATTTTTTAATATGCCGTGCTGCAGAAGATCTTGAAAAATTACATTTTTTACTTGCTTCAGTGATTGTCATTTTTTTTTATAAAATAGCATTTAAGAAACTCTTCTATCTGGCTATCAGAGTAAACCTTGTATTGTCCCCTTTTCTTGTTTGTCAAATGATCATCTTTTGCTGTTCCCCTTTGATTGGATGGTTTATTCTTCGCAGCAGTAGCTTTAATATCTGATAAATAATCATCGTATTCAGGGCCAAGAATTTCCTTAAGTTTTTTTTCATAATCTTCATCCATTGGATAACTTTTTTTTTTCAACTGCCAAAATTTAAAAGCCTTAACTCTTTAAATAGCATCCAATAAGCAGATTCTGTTAAATTTGTTAGAATTATCCGAAGCATTTCAAACTACACTTGAACAAATTATATTTAAGTTACATCAATTTTCCAAATAACTTCTAGTCTTACAACATCGGAATAAAAGTCATACCCGAGTCTCAACATCCCAAGATCCTTAAACTAGACTAAGTTTCCAAAATTGATATATTGGGATCTTGAGATATTAAAATTTAACATTTTAAGAACCTGGATCTTGAGCTATAGGTTAATAGCATTGGTCATCCCTATTATGATCTTTTTAATCTGATTTTTTTTTGCACAACATGCGTTCCTGAAAATAATAGCGCAGCGTATCTTAGAATTTCATTCTTGCGAAAGCTCGATTCCTTTTTTATTTAAAAGCATTTGAAGTTATTCAACACTTATTTTTCGTATTTTTTTTAAAAACAAAACAAAAATTTATTATGTCTTCTAACGCTGGTTTTCAATCCCTTTTCTTCCACTTTGACAATGAAGCAGGTAATCTTACTTTCGCACCTATGGACGGGTTGATAAATGACATTGTTGAGGAGCAACAACATATTCGTGTCGTAGATGATAGTCTTTCCATAAATACGGTAATGGAATGGGAGACGAGTCATCCAGCTGGTGAACCTAACAACAATTCAACGATGCAACTTCTAACTTTTATGGAATACAGAAATATCATTTCTGAAAGCGAAATGTCTCAAGAATCAGAGGTGCCTTTGGCTGAAACACCTTCTGTTGCTCCGTCTACTTCTGTCACTCCTGTTCGCAGTAAAAGAGGAGCATATCATAAGTATACTGAAAAGCAAGTCCTGGATATATTCCATTTGGTATTCGAATGTGGTATGACAGCAAAAACTGCTTCTGAGAAGACTGGTATCGTCATTAGAACTGGTCAGAGCTATATCCGCCAGGAAAGACTTCGAAGAGCAGCTGAATACGAACTCCCTTCTGATGTCTCTGGACAAGCAATTGAAGAGAAACCTGTGAAAACAGGAAACAAGAAACTTTTTGATGATCACTCTAAGTTCTTGGTACAACTTTATGAGAAAAATCCTGCAGCTACATTGGCACAAGCCAGGGAAGCCCTATGCAAAGAATTTGAAGGCTTGACTATCACCTTGTCTGGGCTTCAGAAGCACTTGATGAAGAAGTGTTGTTTGACTACGAAGAAGCTTGAAAAGCTACACTAACTCAAAAAATGGTTTCAATGTTCTCTAAAAAGTCAGCTTTTTTCTTTTTTCTTCACATTATTAAACTGAAACGGCTAAAAATAGAACACAGTAATAGTACACATATATTTCCATTTTTGGTAGAAATTTCCTCATAGTCGCGTGCTATATGATTAACTTACTGGTTTTGAAAAAGGATCACCCCATTTAAACCATTTTTTGAGTTTTCTCTTTTTTCTCATAAATTTACTGATTGTAATATCCTTAGAGTTGAGTTTGAAGAGGGAGTTTTCTTATTGGATAAGGAATAAATAACAATTATAAAGTTTTTAATAAAGAATAGAATAATGTTTATCTATAGAAAAGTTATTATGTATTTATACTAATTCGTGTTTGCTATTGGTAATATATATGAAAATAAAATGTATATTTAACTAGTTGTTGTGAAAGGGAGCCCAGCTGTCAATTACCAATAATAAGAGGAAAGCTAATGGTAAACTGGAGGACCAATAAAAGCGAGAAATTTCATATTTGTATTTTGACCAATTATGGCAACTTAAACGTTTACACAATCCCCCCTCTAGAAGAAGTAGTAGCCTGACCTTTGTCCTTCTCATTGATGCTTGGATACCAAATTCGCATATGTCTAGTATTAGCAGTTGGCAGATAATTCGAAGCATCGTCTTTTTTCTTGATCGTGTATGCAGTTCCTTCGCTGTTATTTTTCTTGACAACGATCCAAGGGCCAGACTAACGTTCTTTTGGAAAAGTGGATTTCTCTAAGTTTTTTCTTGCTATGAGACCACCGACTTGATAATTATACTTGATCTTAGATTTCTTGTCATAAAATTTCTTCTGAAGTGCTTGTGCCTTCTTGATGTTTTCTAACGCTTTATCATGAGCCAGAAGAATCCTTGCACTCAAGTAATGCACCCAATATTCAGTATCATAAGTTTTTGGATCCTTAATAATTAAATCAGGTAACAAAGGCAATTCAGGTTTTCTTCCGTATAATACCTCAAAAGGAGAAAAAGTGATACTTGACTGTTTTGCCATATTATAGGCGAAAGTAACAAATGGCAGGTAGTCGTCCCAAAGAGCAGGTTCATTTCCAACTAGAATTGCTAAATTGGTCTTCAGTGTTCTATTAAGTCTTTCAACCAGGTCATCACTTTGTAGATGCTCTACTGATGTTAACGATCTTCTTATTCCCAAATGTTTACACACCATGTTCATTGCATCCGAGATAAAGTTAGTATCATTATCAGTGATCAATCTTGTTGGCAAACCAATCTTTAAAGTTACTTCATAGAATAAGATTTGAACCATTCTATCAGTATCGAACGAAGATAACGCTGCTGTTACAGCCCGCTTGCTGAGGTATTCTATAATTACCAAAACATACTTGTTACATTTAGTTGATTTAGGAAGTATTGCAATATCCGCAGCCCAGATTTCGCCTAAGTACTTCGGAGTGATTGGTTTCATGGGAGATATTGATGAATCATTTCTAATCTTGAACCTTTGACAGCCTTCATAATGCTTAACCCAGTTAGTTACGTCTTCTTTTCTAGTAAACCACCAGCCAACAGTCTTTACTCTATCCAGAGTTTTTTCTACTCCAAAGCGTCCACCAATGTCTTTATTATGAGCATGTGTCAGGACCTTTTTGATTAAACCATTTGGAACGACCGGTACCAGTCTTTCATCTTCTTGATAACACAAGGTGCCATTAGCCCAAACGAACGGATGTTTTACTCCCTTTCTTAATAAAGTAATTGTTATGATTGTAGTCGTATTTACAACTAAGTTAATAGAAATAAACTATCATTTATTTAAATAATAAAGAGTTTATTCGAATAAAACTAGTGTATTGTACTTCACAGCATAGTATTCATTCTACGCTCAGTTTTAATAATAGTCATTGTTAGAGTATTCGAGCATTAAAAATAATTATATACATCGTATTATGTAATAATAAGAATTTAATAGGTTTATGACTGTTATATTCAATTACATAATTATTTATACAGGTCATACATATTATATATACATCCATAATGTTGTATATTGTTATAGAGGGAATATTCACTGTAAACTAATATTAACGTGTTGCTTATCCCAAAGACAATAATCGTGTATATTTTTAATAACAGCAACAGCTCAGGCAGAAATATGCATACTGCATGCAGAATTATTTGGAGACAATATTTGTGCATATTTGTGCATAAAGGCTTTATTATAGCAGTATTCACTTATCTAAATCACACTCCTATTAATATGACTTACCTTTCAAAACATATACAGTGACTCACAAAACTGTCCCAATGTTTTGCACTTTTCTCTTTAATTGACTCGTTCTTCTTTTGTAATCATGCTAGAAAGATATGGAAGATATCATTCGATAGCCTAAGTAATTCTCTATCAAATCATTACCAAAAATAGTAATATAATTTAGAACTCAGCGTAAAATATTAAATAAAAAATTGAATATGCATTGGGACAGTTTTGTGGCCGTACCTATAAAAATAAAATTTGTCCCACAATTTGGCAGTAACTTTAGCCTAGCATATAGTAGCGATCATATTATTTCTTTGTGCCTTCCACAGTATAATTAAGGTAAGTTCTAGAATATTCTATAATTTTGGGGACTAAATCTTGAGGCCATATTGTTAGTATGCGCTCCATAAGTGAAAACCAAAGAAATGACATTATTGCCAAGCTCAACAGCGGACTTTCTGTGCGTCAAGTGGCTGAGCAGATCGGAGTGAGTCGGAGTTCTGTGTGTCGCATCGGAAAAACATATTTATCTGGGCGCAGCTTGTCAAAAGGGGACGACCT